CAGCATAAATGTCCTATACAGTGTCAGTCAGCTACATTTGCTGATTTGGTTAAATAATGAATTGCCAGGTGCACCGCTTCAAACAGGCCCAGAGAAAAACCCAGAAAATGTCCCAGAGTGTTGCGAATGTGGATGCTGTGTTGCAATGCCAACACAATTGGAAAACAAACGCTGTACACAAACAATACAGCCTTGCATGACCCTAGCCCCTCTGTTCCCACAGTTAGTACTTGATGGAAACGTTCTGGACCTGGCCATGCATAGCCTGCGAACAGGCACTCTTTGAACTCTCTTTGGAATTTGAGAGAGAGCCTGCAGGCCTAGCTAATAAAAACGCGTCTGTGCGTTGCTTAGAACGACGCAGGGTTCCCATTGGTTGAAATTGAATTAACTACATTATACTGCCATAAAAGGTAATTAAATTTACACAACAATAGATTCAAATCGAAAATATCGTTTTATAGCGACGAGGTGCATAGAAAACTAAATCTTTGTTTAAAGTTAAAGGATGGACAGTCAAAAGCTCTTAATAATATTCTAGACGGAAACGATGTTTTAGCTGTACTGTATAAGAGAGTTTGGCAAATACAACGGCAACGTTCTTATATCAACAATAGCATCTTTATTCTAAGACAAAGGCGACTATAATTTGCATTCTTGAGCATTCTAGGACGCCGTAGTTGTTCAAACTCAAGTCGTTGCGGTGTTTATGTGAATTCACAATTACTATTGCTACTTCAGGAAATTTCAGGGTTGTTTGAAAGAAAGATAAGTGCTTTTAATGTTGTTGTAAGTGCGTTGAAATCAAGATATGCGTTTTGTTTATATTCGCAGGCTATTACATAAGGCGTGTCTGTATTAATTTGTCACATTGTATTTTACATTTGATTGACAACACTATAAATAGTGATGGGCCCGGCAGGCTCTAATTCAATTCAAAGAGCCTGTTCGCAGGCTAGGCCATGCATTACAGGGCCGGGAAGACTGTTTAGTGTTAAATAATGTTAGAAACAATGAAAATTTTCACCATGCTGCTTACAAGCAATATGTACTCTGGCAACATGAAAAGATAAGGAAGTGGGAACAGGAGAATGATTCCAAGGAATCCAAGCTGTTGTGTTACAGCAATACGGAAAAAATATCCTTCTCCAAATGGGATATACTCTGGGTATCAACCTGCTAGATTGTAAATATTTGTTGCAAATGTTGTTATTATGTTATTGATCATTGAGGAAAACTTTATTATTTCATTAATCCATTTTACTGGAATTATCTCGATCCCATGACAGAGAGGATCATTTTAAATATTTTGAAAGAACTTGGGTAATTCACACCTGCATGCATGTTAAGGCCCATTCACACAAGCGATTTTAAACTGTGATTTTCTCCTTTCGGGATACAGTATGTGATTTAGCAAAATTACAGGAAATATTACTTTGCATGGCTTAGCTCATATATTTGTTGTGATATTCACTCAAACACATGCAACAAAAGAAGAAAATTGCAGTTCAAAACAGGGCTCGAAATAGCGGCCTGCCAATGGCCAAAAGCAGGCCATATTTGAGAAATGGCAAGCGAAAAAAAATTTGAACTGCCAAGTCAAAAATAAAATGGCAGGCGAAATTCTATAGATATGTTTCGTTTTATTTGCTTACCAGTTACCACTAAAAACTCCAATTTTAATTATTTGAAAGTGTTAATAATCGCCAGTGCAAATATAAAACACAAAGTCAAGTGCAGCATTCAAAGCCAAAGATATTAAATAAAATTGTGTTATTTGCTGGCGCATACTAATGTCCAGCGGTATACTAGATCCCAGGCTACATTCTGGCATTCAGGACCGCCATTATTAAATATACAAAACAAATGGCGTCCAAGAATGCGTCTAAGTTTTCAGCTACAGCAAGAAATATTAAAAAATCTACTGTTTTGAAATGGAAAGTTGGGAATTGGCTGGAAATTGTAGACTCTAATAGGCACAAAGGTGAAGTTTGGGTAACTTCTGTGCGATGCAAACTGTGTGCAAAATATGAAAAGAAGCTAACAAACACGCGAAATTTTAACTTTTCATGGTGTCGTGGTACAACAAATGTGAAGCTAGATGCTGTGAAAACCCACATGAATGGGGAACCACACAAGCTTGCATTGAAGTTGGAGGATGAAGAGATGTTTAAGGCAAAGCCAGGCCCACTACCTGCATATGCTGCGACACCACTGGGAAAGGCATTTTTTAAGCTAAACGAGAATGAGAAAGTAAGAGTCAAGAAATTGATTGAAATAGCATATGTTGTTGCCAAAGAAGAGATGCCATTCACCAAATTTGTTGCCATTGCTAAGCTAGAGAAACGGCATGGGGTTGAATTGGGCCAAACATACCTAAACGATCATGCATGTGCAGATTTTGTTGACACTATAGCTGAAATATATGAAGAGGAATTAAACCAGGTTCGTGTGCTTTTGATGTTTTGACATTTAGATTTAATGGTTGTAATTAAGTGATATTCCAGTCTCCAGATCGGGTTATTGTATTTGCACCCCCCTGGTCCTTGTGGACTCCAATTGGGATATGGTGATTCTCTACTTTGAAAGTTTTAAGTCTAAATATTTTTAGTTGTACTGTTATCTGTATTTTTAGATGTTGAAAAGAGTACATTACTACTCAATCCTTGTTGATGGCAGCACAGATGCTAGAAGCAAAGAAAAAGAGGTCATCTACATCCTCTATGTGGATCCTGACACTGGAAGGCAGAGGCTCCGTTTTTTCTCTCTTCAAAAGGTGGAACATGCAACTGCCACAGATGTACTAGCATTGATTAAAAAAGCCTTTGAACAACATGGAGTAGATTCACTTAAGGAACACACTGTGGGTTTTGGTGCTGATGGTGCAGCTGTCAATCTTGGAGTGAGAGGAGGTGTTTCTGTACTCATGAAGGATGATGAAGGAATTGATTGGCTAGTCACAGTACATTGTGCTAGCCATCGGCTTGAACTGAGCATAGCAGTTGCTTTGAAATCAACAGTGTTCTCAGATATCAATGAAATGCGGCAAGTGGAACTCGTTGGCTAGAGCATAAAATCCGGGCAATGAACTGGATAAGCAAGAATTATGGTCTTCTTATTGCCCATCTTAACCATCTTACAGAGGATGAATCGTTTACGAGTGCAGACAGGCAAAAATTTAAGGGAATGTATACCAAATACAGAAATGCAAAGTACCCTTTGTTTGTTGAGTACTTCATTGAAATGCTTGTGCCAGCAGCAGAGTTGACAAGTCTTATTTTCCAGCGTGAAAAAATTGATGTAGTAGAAGCAGTACGTGCAGTGAAGAAGTTTTTTCGCATCATGAACAAGCTAAGTGAGTCCAGTGAAGTTGTCTTTACTACTGGTCGTGTGAGTAATTTCTTCAGTAATCTGACCAACCAAGAGGAGCAATTTATTTACAAAGATGTCAACCTGAGTCATATCAAACAGGCAAAAAACAGCCTTAAATCAGCCAATGATGACATCCTCTCTACTATCATTGAATGTTTCAAAGGAAGATTTGATGATATTACCAATACCGACAATCTGTTCAATGCTCTTGTGAAGATTTTAGACACTGAAGTCTATCCAGAACAAGGACTTGATGATATTTATGGTGAAGATGAAGTGAAGTTGGTAATCGACAGGTTTTGTGACTTACTCAGTGCAAACGGTTGTGATGTCATGAAAATTGAATGTGAGTGGGATGAGCTGAAGCAATTGGTTGTGACAACTGGATTAAAAACCATGAGATATGTTGATGTCTGGGCAAAGTATTTCAGTTCTTCAAAGAAAGAATCTCTGAGCAACATCCTACATGTTGCTGAAATTCTCCTGATTGTTCCAATCAGTAACGCAACTCTTGAGCGCATGTTCTCAACAATGAATCGTATCCACAGTGATTGGAGAAATTGCTTAGGAGAAAAGAGGGTTGAGAATCTGCTAAGAATTTGGGAGGAAGGGCCTGCACCAGAAAAATTTGATGCACAACCAGTGCTTGCAAGATGGACTGAGAAATGTGCCACACAACGAAGGCCTAATGTGAGGCCAAGTGGGCCGAGAGCATCTGGTTCTAAAACTAAAAGAAAACTGCCTGAATCTCAGGTTGCTGAAACTGTGAAGAAGCTACTAGAGGACTCAGAGTCAGATACAACAGAGCTAGATGTAGACATGTCTTCAGACAAGACAGACACTGAGTTTGAGTCTGACTGTGATCTTGTAGATGTTAGTAGTGACAGTGATGAATTCGAGAACTAATCGTCAAAATAAGTTTATATTTAAGTTAACATTAAGTTTTACATTTAGTAAAGTTAACATTTATTACAAGTTTATTTGGTTCTGTTGACAAATATACCAGGTAACATGCTATAAACTTTTGGCAGTTCAAAAATAAAAATGGCAGGCGTAAAATTATTTGGCCTGTCAAACAAAAATTAAAATGGCAGGCCATAATTTTTTTCTATTTCGAGCCCTGGTTCAAAATTGCTACCGTGAATAAATAAGCTTAAATAATAATAATAATAATAATAATAATGCGCGCAAGCGAATTTGAATTTTTCTTTTTGCCGAAATTGTTTTTTTTTCTCGTTTATTTACCTGTCGCATAGCTAGCTATATGCATTGGGAAGATGAATTTAGATGCATTTCGATGATTTTCGGAAAATTTAATGTA